AGCCTGGGTGGTGGTAGCCAACACACCAGTATGGTAGCCTGGGTGGCAACACACCAGTGTGGTAGCCTGAACTGTGGCAACACACCAATATGGTAGCCTGAGTGACAACACACCAGTATGGTAGCCTGGGTGGCAACACACCAGTATGGTAGCCTGGGTGGCAACACACCAGTATGGTAGCCTGGGTGGCAACACACCAGTATGGTAGCCTGGACGGTGGCAACACACAGTATGGTAGCCTGGACGGTGGCAACACACAGTATGGTTGCCTGGAGTGTGGCAACACACCGTATGGTAGCCTGGACGGTGGCAACACACCAGTATGGTAGCCTGGGTGGCAACACACCAGTATGGTAGCCTGGACGGTGGCAACACACCAGTATGGTAGCCTGGGTGGCAGTAAGCCTGGACGGTGGCAACACACCAGTATGGTAGCCTGGGTGGCAACACACCAGTATGGTAGCCTGGACGGTGGCAACACACAGTATGGTTGCCTGGAGTGTGGCAACACACAGTATGGTAGCCTGGACGGTGGCAACACACAGTATGGTTGCCTGGAGTGTGGCAACACACAGTATGGTAGCCTGGACGGTGGCAACACACAGTATGGTTGCCTGGAGTGTGGCAACACACAGTATGGTAGCCTGGACGGTGGCAACACACAGTATGGTAGCCTGGACGGTGGCAACACACAGTATGGTTGCCTGGAGTGTGGCAACACACAGTATGGTAGCCTGGGTGGCAACACACCAGTATGGTAGCCTGGACGGTGGCAACACACAGTATGGTTGCCTGGAGTGTGGCAACACACAGTATGGTAGCCTGGACAGTGGCAACACACAGTATGGTTGCCTGGAGTGTGGCAACACACAGTATGGTAGCCTGGACGGTGGCAACACACAGTATGGTTGCCTGGAGTGTGGCAACACACCAGTATGGTAGCCTGGACGGTGGCAACACACCAGTATGGTAGCCTGGGTGGCAACACACCAGTATGGTAGCCTGGGTGGCAACACACCAGTATGGTAGCCTGGACGGTGGCAACACACAGTATGATAGCCTGGGTGGCAACACACCAGTATGGTAGCCTGGACGGTGGCAACACACAGTATGGTAGCCTGGACGGTGGCAACACACAGTATGGTTGCCTGGAGTGTGGCAACACACAGTATGGTAGCCTGGACGGTGGCAACACACAGTATGGTTGCCTGGAGTGTGGCAACACACAGTATGGTTGCCTGGAGTGTGGCAACACACAGTATGGTAGCCTGGACGGTGGCAACACACAGTATGGTTGCCTGGAGTGTGGCAACACACAGTATGGTAGCCTGGACGGTGGCAACACACAGTATGGTTGCCTGGAGTGTGGCAACACACAGTATGGTAGCCTGGACGGTGGCAACACACAGTATGGTTGCCTGGAGTGTGGCAACACACAGTATGGTAGCCTGGACGGTGGTAACACACAGTATGGTTGCCTGGAGTGTGGCAACACACCAGTATGGTAGCCTGGACGGTGGCAACACACCAGTATGCGGTCAGTCACGCGCCTTGCTGTTGTCCACCTTCATGAGGGTTCGTCTTACCATTCATAATTTCGGGGGAGAAAGTTAGTTTGATGTTTAGGATGAGAGAGCGTCAAGGTACTCCAGCACCGATGTGCTCACTTGCACTCCTCCACTGGCAAGGCTGAGTTAGGTCTGGAAATAGACCATGTAGGCCGTGAGAGTGGTCCAGGACCAACGTCGACCCCACCACCCCAACACCGTGCTGGTAGCCTCTCTCATAATCTTCTGGGTCATGTAAGAACTATATACCCATGGTGCAGCAGCTGGGGTGAGGACACTGCTGTGATCACCTCTCACCATCAGTGAGTGTCAATAAGGTCGGTGTTTACTGATAGTGTCAGCCCTACATAATACCACATAACCCAGGCAGTTAGGGAACGTCCTGCTTGATACCTGCTTGATGGGGTTCTGGGAGTTCTTCTACTCCCCAAGTCTGGCCTGATTTGTGAGAGTTTTTGTCAGTTCATGATAAGTGTTAACTGAAGTTGTTGGAAGGAAAACCATGCCTGCAGAGAATGCATCGTTTCTCTCGACTCGAAAATAAGAAGAGTTTTAAACTGCTGTGATAAACTGGACGGACAAGACATCCAGTAGCAGCCCGCTCCAGCTGGTTTGCTCACCTAACCTATGTGGAGGTTACAAGTGACCTTTGTCGCGGGACAAACGACATTCCATCATTGATTTGTTTAGTTACGCCACCAATGTTGGTCTCAACCATAATAACCTATTGAGGTAATGCACTGCAAGTGCAACCTTGCAAATATTCCTGTCTTGCAAACAATGAGTCACAATAACATGGCTTAAGATATGAAGACTAAACCACACAACAGAAAATGAGGAGACGACGACGTTTCGGTCCGTCCTGGACCATTATCAAGTCGATCGATCATCGACAAGTCGACACAATCAATTTGATAATGGTCCAGGACAGACCGAAACGTCGTCGTCTCCTCATTTTCTGGTGTGTGGTTTAGTCTTCATTCCTGTCTTGTTAATTAATATTTTATTTGTACGTTTGTATGAAATACGTTATACTTGAGGAGTGTGTGCGTAGATAACGTCAAAGGTGGCCTGACGTCATATACTACTAGGACTTGCGTCACGGGCCGGGCGCCAGGGGTAAGCCGGACGACTATATAGGGTCTCCTACGACACGGACCGGGCGTCAGAGGTGGGTCAGTTTCTAACCACATACCACGTAGATGGTGTAAGTACCACGTAAACTTACCTCATAAGTTTCTTCCTGCCCACCTGCTACTACGTCTCCTGCGTCACGGGGAGGGTCAGTTGCCAGGAAGTGTTCATAGGTATATATATGTTATGGTAGTCGTCTCCTACGCCCCCTCAACCCACTGTTGTCTAATGTTTCCAGTGATCATGTTGTCCTAGTTGTATAACTTAGCTAGAGCATCAAAGTTGGTTTATAATTCATTGGTCCAAGAGCAGGACGAGACGTTTGGCCAACTGTTGTGGTTGGCATCCTGGGCAAGGTCAGTAGGTGAACCCATAGGAGGATCTCAATAACCCTAACAGGCTTCTTGTACCCAACAATAAGATATACAACCCATGTGCTAACTGGGTAGGTGTTGCTACACCACCAAATGTCACCTGTGTGTGTACACACAACAATGTTAGGTGTTCCTGTGGTGCGTGTGTGGTGCTCTTGGGGTCCGGCCACAGTTGTCCAGGACCCGCGCACCTGAGCCCCATAAAATGTGACGTCACACTGCGCACGCCAAATATACAACACAACTTTCTATCTGTTATTTTGGTTAGGTTTACTTGAAGAGTAGCGATGACGTAGAGGGTGAAAATACACGCAGGTGTTAGAGTGATGTAGTACAGCACCAGGCCGCCTCGGCTCCCCGGCCTTCCTTACTACAGTGCTACATCACTCTGTTGGTTTTATGTACGAGAGTTACAGGGAATAAAACATTAACTATTTATACATTATTATTTGTAAATATATTGTGGCTTCGAGAGCTTTAATGACATGTGAACAACAATTACTAATTACGTATATGGTTTTGTTCGTGAGGTTTAACGCAATACGATGGACCAGACGCAAGATGACACCAGCTTCCCTCACCTTAGTTCCCTCACCTTAGCTCCCTCACCTTAGCTCCCTCACCTTAGCTCCCTCACCTTAGCTCCCTCACCTCAGCTCCCTCACCTTAGCTCCCTCACCTTAGCTCCCTCACCTCAGCTCCCTCACCTTAGCTCTCTCACCTTAGCTCCCTCACCTTAGCTCCCTCACCTTAGTTCCCTTACCTTAGCTCCCTTACCTTAGCTCCCTCACCTTAGTTCCCTTACCTTAGCTCCCTCACCTTAGCTCCCTCACCTTAGTTCCCTCACCTTAGCTCCCTCACCTTAGCTCCCTCACCTTAGCTCCCTCACCTTAGCTCCCTCACCTTAGCTCCCTCACCTTAGCTCCCTCACCTTAGCTCACCTCACCTTAGCTCCCTTACCTTCACCTTAGCTCCCTCACCCTCCCTCACCTTAGCTCCCTCACCTTAGCTCCCTTACCTTAGCTCCCTCACCTTAGCTCCCTTAGCTCCCTCCTTAGCTCCCTCCTCACGTTAGCTCCCTCACCTTAGCTCCCTCACCTTAGCTCCCTCACCTTAGCTCCCTCACCTTAGCTCCCTCACCTCAGCTCCCTCACCTTAGCTCCCTCACCTTAGCTCCCTCACCTTAGCTCCCTCACCTTAGCTCCCTCACCTTAGCTCCCTCACCTCAGCTCCCTCACGTTAGCTCCCTTACCTTAGCTCCCTCACCTTACCATCTCTCCTCATAAACAAGTCATTACCTCACCGCCACACTTGCAAGCGTGGGACACCAGTGTAGCCAATAAATGTACCTGGCGCTGCTGTGTGAAGCCCAGGTGTGTTGTCAGTACAAGACTCAGGAACCCCAGAGAATTCAGTTGAATCCCAGGTTACATAACTGTTAAGGAATGTATTGTGGATCAGTGGTTTAAGGCGTGTGTTTGGGAGTACCCATTGTGAAGGTTCGAGTCCTCCGCATGACTCCTACTGATTTTCTATAATAATAATAACAATTACAACAGGTGTGATAAGGTCAGGTCAGATCAGGTCACCGAGGGATACATGCCCAATTATGAATTACAATATATTTTTATGGAACAGTTTTTAACAAGAAGGTAAATTTAACATTGCTAACCCTCTTGCTAAATTAATTCTTCATAAATATCATAAATTAAAATATTATTCACCGAGTGACGTCAAGCCAGCTGACCTGGTAATATAGCCAGAGATGACCTAGCAGCTGCACACACCACTCATGAGTGAGGGAGTACAGCAGTCACGTGCACCGGGTGTGTGGTAATATTTTTTTTGTTTTTTTTTTGCAATTAGGTGTGTTTTGTAGAGGTTTGTTATGATGAAGTATAAGTGTGTGTGTGTGTTGTTACAGAGGAGGTTGAGAGCGTGGAGGCGCTGCTGGTGATGAACAAGCTGAAGAGCGTGCTGTACCGCGGGGTGGAGCGGTACCTCAACTGTGAAGCCTTCCTCATCTCCCGCTCCACACTACTTAGGTGAGTGTACCGGCCCACGACAACTGTCAACACCATACAACACTGTACAACAATACACTACCTTAGGGCAAGCATGGCACCACAACACCTGTACAACACACTCCACAACACACCGGCTCTTGTTGTAGTCAAGATGACACTATGTACAACAGCTTCCCCTTCTCGGGGGCATGAAGTCTGTTAGGCCTATCGAGGTCTCCCTAGTTATACACAACGTTCCCAGGATGCAACCCATAACAGTTGCCTGACTCCCGGGTTCCTGCTTATTGCTAGGTGAATAAAGGCATCAGGTGTAAAGAAATATGCCCAAGGGTTTCTGCCCTGCCGCGGGAGTCGTAGAAATCCGACTGTGTTGACCACTCAACCAGAAACATTCAACTTCTAAATACTACAAAGTTAATCAAATATATTGTCTTACTACAGAGCCCAACACTGCCATTGTCTTACTACAGAACCCAACACTGTCATTGTCTTACTACAGAGCCCAACACTGCCATTGTCTTACTACAGAGCCCAACACTGCCATTGTCTTACTACAGAACCCAACACTGCCATTGTCTTACTACAGAACCCAACACTGTCATTGTCTTACTACAGAGCCCAACACTGTCATTGTCTTACTACAGAACCCAACACTGTCATTGTCTTACTACAGAGCCCAACACTGCCATTGTCTTACTACAGAACCCAACACTGTCATTGTCTTACTACAGAGCCCAACACTGCCATTGTCTTACTACAGAACCCAACACTGCCATTGTCTTACTACAGAACCCAACACTGTCATTGTCTTACTACAGAGCCCAACACTGTCATTGTCTTACTACAGAACCCAACACTGTCATTGTCTTACTACAGAGCCCAACACTGCCATTGTCTTACTACAGAACCCAACACTGTCATTGTCTTACTACAGAGCCCAACACTGCCATTGTCTTACTACAGAACCCAACACTGCCATTGTCTTACTACAGAGCCCAACACTGCCATTGTCTTACTACAGAGCCCAACACTGCCATTGTCTTACTACAGAACCCAACACTGCCATTGTCTTACTACAGAACCCAACACTGCCATTGTCTTACTACAGAGCCCAACACTGCCATTGTCTTACTACAGAACCCAACACTGTCATTGTCTTACTACAGAGCCCAACACTGCCATTGTCTTACTACAGAACCCAACACTGCCATTGTCTTACTACAGAACCCAACACTGTCATTGTCTTACTACAGAGCCCAACACTGTCATTGTCTTACTACAGAACCCAACACTGTCATTGTCTTACTACAGAGCCCAACACTGCCATTGTCTTACTACAGAACCCAACACTGTCATTGTCTTACTACAGAGCCCAACACTGCCATTGTCTTACTACAGAGCCCAACACTGTCATTGTCTTACTACAGAACCCAACACTGCCATTGTCTTACTACAGAACCCAACACTGCCATTGTCTTACTACAGAACCCAACACTGTCATTGTCTTACTACAGAACCCAACACTGTCATTGTCTTACTACAGAGCCCAACACTGCCATTGTCTTACTACAGAACCCAACACTGTCATTGTCTTACTACAGAACCCAACACTGCCATTGTCTTACTACAGAACCCAACACTGCCATTGTCTTACTACAGAACCCAACACTGTCATTGTCTTACTACAGAGCCCAACACTGCCATTGTCTTACTACAGAACCCAACACTGTCATTGTCTTACTACAGAGCCCAACACTGCCATTGTCTTACTACAGAGCCCAACACTGCCATTGTCTTACTACAGAACCCAACACTGCCATTGTCTTACTACAGAACCCAACACTGTCATTGTCTTACTACAGAGCCCAACACTGCCATTGTCTTACTACAGAACCCAACACTGCCATTGTCTTACTACAGAGCCCAACACTGCCATTGTCTTACTACAGAGCCCAACACTGCCATTGTCTTACTACAGAACCCAACACTGTCATTGTCTTACTACAGAGCCCAACACTGCCATTGTCTTACTACAGAGCCCAACACTGCCATTGTCTTACTACAGAACCCAACACTGCCATTGTCTTACTACAGAACCCAACACTGCCATTGTCTTACTACAGAGCCCAACACTGCCATTGTCTTACTACAGAACCCAACACTGCCATTGTCTTACTACAGAACCCAACACTGCCATTGTCTTACTACAGAACCCAACACTGCCATTGTCTTACTACAGAACCCAACACTGCCATTGTCTTACTACAGAACCCAACACTGCCATTGTCTTACTACAGAACCCAACACTGCCATTGTCTTACTACAGAACATTGATTGACCTAACATGAACCTTACAGAAGTCTTACCTCGCCAGCCTGGTTTATCTTACTTAAATATTAAATGCGTAGGTCGGATGTTTTGTGAAGCGTACAGGGAAGGGGAAACATGGTCTCATGGCACTGTGTACAGTTTTCATCAACCTATACTTTAAATGTATTGTGGACTTCTAATATAATGCACAAATGTGAATTTGTAAGTTCTCTAAATAAATTTAACCACATTTAAGTTTAAGCAAAATACAGTAACTTGAGCTATCACTTAAGATGGGGCGATGAGAAGTATAAAGTGAACAAGAATGACAAGTTAACATGAAATGTTGTGTTGACAGGGCGGCCCATGACGTGCTGAGGCTGAGCTGTGACCGGCCCCTGGGCCTCCGTAGCTCCCTGGTCGAGCTTTACCTCCACGACGGTCACTCCTCCAAGAGGTAACTCACTCTCACTTTTCTATATTCTTCATGTATTCCTCATTTCTCTATGTTCGTTGAATACATTGTATTCATAACATGTTGATTCTGCAACAAACATTAGTCACACCTTTGCATAATGCTATACTGTACTTTGGTTTGTCATTTCATATAATATTTACCAACAACTCTGAATTGTCTTGAAGTATTGTTACCTGAATATTCCTGAGGGCCACCACCTTTCTAGTGGCCTGGACGGGAACAGGAAGCCGGCAGCTTGTCATAAGTCCCCTCAATTTCAATTTTTCTTGGTGATTTTATCCAGCTGGATTTTGATTGATTGTTGCCGCCGGAGGCGGCTAGTTTATTGTTCACCCCATACCCATCCTGTGAGCGGTAGCGTAAAAAGCATTACAGAGGGCACAAAAGGTCTTTATCAGAACTCAACTTAGATTATTACATAAACAATTTCATCTATCCTTCACACCTTATAACTACAACATCAACTAGTTAGAGAATGTTCTATCTCAAGAGCTATATATTAACAGTAAGTCATTATACATACATGGTAGGTCTTATCGCTAATACTCAATTGTTTGAGCAGTGAAGATCTGCAGCAATGTCCTGGCATTTACGGCTTCGGTGGGTTAGCTATTTCATGAATCACTCTTATTTTTTTTTAAGATTGCTTAGCTATTTAACAGAGTACAGTGAGTCAACCAATTAGTTTGTGACAAAGGTTGTGTTGCAGGCTGGCGCAGGTGGTGGCGGACCCGCGGCAGGAGGTGAAGACCGTGATCAAACTGACCCTCCACAAGGACCTCAACACGCCGGACCACAACACTCTCCGCATACACTCCGGCTACACCATGGAGCGCCACTGCCTCCCGTGATCACTTACCTCCTCATCTTGTGTCATACGCCGTGAAGGTTCTGCAAAAGTTTGCATTTTCCTAAATGCTTAAACGCATTAGGGGTTGGATGAATCATTGTTATGACTGATGATACATTTACGTCACCTTAGTGTATTTTGAGAGTGACATGACCATTAACATGACCGCTTCAAGCTGGGGTTTCACCTGGGCTAATATGATCCTCTCTACCAGAAAAATGTGACAAACAAGTCAATTGTTCCATCATACCAAGCACTGGCAGAGTGTGCAGGCCACAAATATAATGTGTTCCATCTTCAGCTGCTGTGGTAAAAGCTATACAGGTGTGTATTGAATACACTAATTAACCGATCCTCTTGATGGGTGCAGGAGAGAAGCAATCTAATAAAAGTGCCTTCGCCTGGTCCATGACTTGGGCCCTCCTGTAGTACCCTCACCTGGTCCATGACTTGGGCCCTCCTGTAGTACCCTCACCTGGTCCATGACTTGGGCCCTCCTGTAGTACCCTCGCCTGGTCCATGACTTGGGCCCTCCTGTAGTACCCTCACCTGGTTCATGACTTGGGCCCTCCTGTAGTACCCTCACCTGGTCCATGACTTGGGCCCTCCTGTAGTACCCTCGCCTGGTCCATGACTTGGGCCCTCCTGTAGTACCCTCACCTGGTCCATGACTTGGGCCCTCCTGTAGAATACAGCTGTATTGCCCCATATAAAAATTGACAAGAAGCTTCATATTGTCTTGTTTGAAGAACAAACGTTATAATTGTGTTATGATAATATCTACAGCTACAACCTATGGTATTAAAAATGGCTACTGCTAATCATATCTGGAATATATATATATGTATGACACTAGGAGGCACAAGGTGTTACTCCAGCAGTGAAAGAATATCGCTTTCTCTCTGAAGCAGTTTTTCCGCAATATATTAGCAAATTATTTGTTAGGTAATATGCAGGAAACTAACTAATGCACCGACATATTGGTGAAGTGTAACCAGATTATGTTGACCGCCATGTGAACTTTTAAGCAGCTAACATGCATTAATACATGTTGACCAAACCACACACTAGAAAGTGAAGGGACGGCGACGTTTCGGTCCGTCCTGGACCATTCTCGACTTGAAAACACAATCGACTTGAGAATGGTCCCAGACGGACCGAAACGTCGTCGTCCCTTCACTTTCTAGTGTGATTTGGTCAACATATTTCAGCCACGTTATTGTGACTGCTCATCTGCATTTAATACAACTATGTTTTCCATGTATGACAGTTACCCTGAAGTGTTGATAGCAGTTCACTGATTCAACGGGGCAATGTCTGTATATCGTGAGTGTGTCAGTGTCTCCCTGTCTCAGTATACAAGTTCTTGGTGTAAATTGTCTGCACTCTCTAGAAGATGACATAGCTCCTTTATCTGTCCTGCAGTCTATAGTCCAGCGGACCCTTAGCCTGGCGGACCCTTAGCCTGGCGGACCCTTAGCCCGACGGGCCCTTAGTCCGGCGGACCCTTAGCCCGACGGACCTTTAGCCCGGCGGACCTTTAGCCCGGAGGACCCTTAGCTCCGCGGACCTTTAGCCCGGCGGACCCTTAGCTCCGCGGTCCTTTAGCCCGGCGGACCCTTAGCTCCGCGGACCTTTAGCCCGGCGGACCTTTAGCCCAGCGGACCCTTAGCCTCGCGGACCTTTAGCCCGGCGGACCCTTAGCTCCGCGGACCTTTAGCCTGGCGGACCTTTAGCCTCGCGGACCTTTAGCCCGGTGGACCCTTAGCTCCGCGGACCTTTAGCCCGGCGGACCTTTAGCCTCGCGGACCTTTATAAAGCCCGGTGGACCCTTAGCTCCGCGGACCTTTAGCCCGGCGGACCCTTAGCTCCGCGGACCTTTAGCCCGGCGGACCCTTAGCTCCGCGGACCTTTAGCCCGGCGGAGCCTTAGCCTTGCGGGATCATAGCCCAAGGACACGTGCAGGCCAAGAGACTTATAGCTCGCGGGATCCCAAGCCCGGCGCAGGTGGACCGATGACACCTGACCAATATACTCGCCCATCGGGGAAACACTAAAAAGAAAAAATCTGTAGTCATCCCACACTCACAGGCAGCGGTGCCACGTCTTGCATCAACACCCCACACTCACAGGCAGCGCTGCCACGTCTTGCATCAACACCCCACACTCACAGGCAGCGCTGCCACGTCTTGCATCAACACCCCACACTCACAGGCAGCGCTGCCACGTCTTGCATCAACACCCCACACAGTGTACTCTGTGTAAAGATAGAAGAACATTATGTATCAGATAATTATACAAAACCCAGCTGGTATATTTTATTGCAATTTTTGTCTCATACAAAAGCCAGATAATGTAATAAAATGTTAAAAAATTTCAGTAATGCAAGAATAAACAAATTGTATTACATTGTAACAAAGTAGTATTGTTAGTACTTGTTAACTTTTATTTTGCACTCTGGTGAATGAGTACCTCGGTGTGTGTGTATACTCTGGTGAATGAGTACCTCGGTGTGTGTGTATACTCTGGTGAATGAGTACCTCGGTGTGTGTGTATACTCTGGTGAATGAATATCCTATTGTGTGTATTCTCTGGTGAATGAGAACCCCAGTGTGTGTAAACTAGTGAATTAATATCCTATTGTGTGTATGCTCTGGTGAATGAGTACCGTAGTGTGTGTATACTCTTGTAAATTAGTATCCCATTGTGTGTATACTCAGATGAATGAAGACCTCAGTGTGTATAATTTAGGCATTTACATAACATTGTATATAACAATCATTCACTCACTTGTTCTGTGTTTATATGTCATTACATTCTGTGTATATATATGTCATGTTTGCCAACCATCGCCCACACTTGCACATGTGTGGGTACGTGCGGGTTCTCACACCTGCACATGTGTGGGTGCGAGTTCCCACACCTGCACATGTGTGGGGTGCGGGTTCCACGAGATGCAGAACTCTCAGGAACAGCCTGTCAGAGATCGATGTGTGATCAATTGCTCAAAGTTCCACTGTAGTCTCACCACCATTTTGTGTAAACCTTATTTTGAAAAAAAATACTTTTGTAATTTACTAAAAAGATTTTTTACGGATACATGATGTCGTTTCTCTTTTGTCCTTGAGAATATAGAAATGTATATAAACCTGATTTTTGTATACCTATAGCAAATAGATCCACATTACTTCTGGAGTGACTGTCACAGCAATGTGGGAACGTCAGCGGGCGCTGATATTGCTCGTTCATGTATACAGGTATATTGGGTTGGAGTGTTTTAAGCTCAGAGTAATTAATTAGTGAGCAGACTCTGTGTTTATTAGTGTTTTGTGTGACTAAGAGCTCCCCTGGTGCACACTCTGAGCTGAGTGCAAGATTCAGGTCTTGGACACACACACTGTGCACTTAATAACATAAGTGACTCAAACGAGGTTTAAAGCGATACATATGAGAGTTTTTAAAATGAAAATATTCTCTCAAGCTAAGAGAGAGAGAGTTAGGAAGAAAGATGACTCTGGTAAATAATATCCCTTATCCACGTGATAAAAATTAATAACAAGAAGTTAGCCTGTACAGCACAATCAAAAAACAAAAGAGGGGCTTAGGCTACAAGGTTGGTTATCCTTATTTGCTTTTAATCTCTGCTTGTTAGTCAGGGAAATTATCTATAAATGTTGCTTTCGCCAATCTGTGAAGATTTACGACATTAATACAATTGATAACTGATAAATTAAGTATACAAATAAAAGTACAGCTCAAGCACATGCACTTCTTACTCTCCTAGCCTATTTTAACTTAGTCAAAGATATTACACACAATTTCTAATGAAATAAAACCTTAACAGACATTAACTGAGTTGTTATTAAATTATCATTAAGTTAATGATATACAAATGTAAACGTTAACTAGATATAGGTTTACAAAATGTAAGGCTTTTTAAAATGTAAGGCGTTAACTTGTAGGTTTACAAAATATTGCCTAACTATTGTTAAGATACGTATGAAGTATGAAAAGATTCAGGCAAGATCTGTATATAAGTAAGAATCTTAAGTAATATGACAATCTAAGTATATTAGTAAAGATACTATTGGGCTCAATGGTCCGTGGTATAACGAGTATCTCTAGAAAAATGGGTGAGTGCTTCCGTATCATGCTCGGACCCGTCACATAACCAACAAGCCACCAACCACACCCATACATTTTATTTATTTATATATATACAAGAGTTCTTACATTCTTGTAAAGCCACTAGCACGCACAGCGTTTCGGGCAAGTCCTTAATCCTAATTTTTCCCCGGAATGCTTCCCCCCAAATCGTTTAACAACCAGATTAAAAACCCTTCACTGATGAGTGGACAGAGGCTACAGTTCAGGATAGGCGCCCAGTTCATCCTCCCCGCGCGTTTTGACCTGAGTTCATTCCCAATGAATGGGAATGGGAATACCTTAATGGGAATGGGTTCATTCCTATTAAGGAAGACATTCCTTAATTTATAGAAGATACCCATGGCGCAGGAGTCTCATGGATATATCTCGGGACATCCTTTCATCCTCTAGACGGATTAAGCACCAGATGTTGTATAATAACAATTATGATGGAATGACGAGTAGTTGTTTACTAGTGGTGGAGTCTGGTCTGGCCTCCCCGTTGGTTACACCACTTCACTTCTCGTTTGTTTGATGTGCTTTAGTTTCTTGCACCTTAATAATGTCTTACTATCAAACCAGGTACAATTCTCTATTTACTTATATTGTCTGTGCTGGTTATGTCTCAGTGTACAGTTCACACAACACAAGTTGACAGGAGACGAGAGTGTGTCCGCCGGCGGCCTGCTGGCTAGACACCACCCACCTTCTGCCCGAGGGGGCGCGGGCTGCTTCTTTTCAGTTCCAGTATTTTCCTACTCGTAATTACTTCATTTATGTTAAGGAACGTCTAAAAGATTAAACTAATAGTAATTTTAGGTTAATCTATTGCTGTTAAATTAATGTTGTACACTTCTGTCTGAACGTTTGTGACGTCACATGACGATATAAAATGCAGACTTTTCATTTCGCGTCTCCAGTCAGCACAGAGATAATATACAACTCCTCACAGAAATCCAACATATAGAAAAAGAAGCCCATAATCTAGGGGTGTCAATCACCCTAAATTGGATACCAAGTCAGATGGGCATAGATGGTAATGAAAAGGCAGACTCATTAGCAAAAACTGCCACTGCTCTACCTGTTGTACAGGTTCAAATACCTCTAAGTTTTTCAGATTAAGGAGCAAATCAAAAAGAAAATACACCCATCAAAAGTCGCCACAGAATCAAAACAGCGGAAGAAAGATCCACTGCGATATGGTACGAACAAGTCACTGGGTACTCCTCTTTCAAGCCTGACAGAAATATATCCAGAGACATTACAGTAGCCATACACAGACTCAGACTTGGTTACAAGTGCTGCTGGGAGGTAATAAACCCATCATATCTTGAGCCACGCCATATACACCAATATGTAGTGATCAACACTCTCTCGCTCTCCCTCCCCAAAGAACGCGGAAATCGTTCATCACACGGGAGAGCGAGGTGGGATGAACACGCTAGGCATCATGACCTTCCGTGTTGTTGACGAGGAACCCGGCTCAGTCTCACTTCCCTCACCTCAATGTGCATGTTAACAATACCCGCGTCTCAGTTAATGTTGATCTAAACATAGCAATTTGAAAGCTTCATTGGAGAAATCTAATCTTGATCTTTCCTTTTGATAGATGTAGCAAGTTGTGAGCGTGTTTTTTTTTCAGGGATATTCCTGCGCGGGCCCTAAGCCTCTGGCTGGCCCACTAAGTGTTGCTTGTTTCTGTTTTACTTGGGCGGAGTATGAGTATTTATGACTCGTATGGTCGCTTCAGTAAGATTCTGCCATATGTGTTTAACTTCTGCTCTGTTGAAACTAAGTTGAAATGTTACTGGGTTTGTAACTGTGCACTTGTGTTAGATAATGTTGTGAGCGTGGTGACTCGGTATTTAATGATCCTTGGTTTGATTACCGCGGAGACGAGAGGTTTGAACACGTTTCCTCTCACTTAATAGCTCTGTTCACCTAACAGTAAACAAGTTACCTGGAGTTGGAAACTGTTGTGAGTTGCATGCCGGAGAATGTTAGTCGTTGTCTTGATGAAATTTTGATTCGCATAACAGTTTTCCTGTTTCCGAAAATGGGAAACTGCAGGAGTGTATTGATTTAGGCTTATTTGTAGGCCTCCCTTATGGTTTGGCATAAGTACTTCCATTTAAGACGCTTAACAAATTGTGAGAGTAGACTCACTCAACGCCCTCGCTGTAAACAAGCCACAAAAACACAACTAATGATATGCAGCCTAAGTTTAATATTATTGTTAATATTAATATAATATTATAGTAATATTATAATTAGTAAGAGGATATGGCACAACGCTGAGACTCTGGAAATCAACCCACGTCACATGACGCATCAACCACAAGCGTATAACACACAAGGGTGCACGATTACCTAGACAAACTGAAGGAATGTTCCAACAAATGACTACTAAAGTTCAACCCAAGTAAATGTAAGGTGATGAAACTAGGCGAAGGAAATAGAAGGTCAGACACTGGATTCCGAATGAGAGAGGAAGTCCTTCACGAAACGAACAGAATGATCTAGGAGAAATCGCCCAACCTGTCTCCTGAAGCTCACGTCAAAAGAATAACATCGGCGGCGTATGCGAGGCTGGTTAACATCAGAACTACCTTCAGAAACTTGTGTAAGGAATCCTTTAGAACCTTATATGCCGCATATGTAAGACCAATCCTGGAGTATGCGGCCCCAGCATTGAGTCCATATCTTGTCAAGCACAAGAGAAATCTGGAAAAAGTTCAGAGGTATGCCACTAGGCTAGTCCCAGAACTAAGAGGCATGAGCTATGAGGAAAAGCTGCGTGACCTGCACCTCACGTCCCTAGAAGATAGAAGTTCGGGGAGACATGATCACCACATACAAAATTTTTAGGGGAATTGACAGGGTAGAAAAGGATGGATTATTTAACACGGGTGGTACACGCACAAGAGGGCACAGATGGAAACTGAGTAAACAAAAGAGCCGCAGAGACATTAGAAATAAGTTTTTCAGTGTCAGACTTGTTAGTAAATGGAATGCACTAGGAAGTGATGCGGTGGAGGCTGACTCCATACACAGTTTCAAGTGTAGATATGATAGAGCCCAGTAGGCTCAGGAATCTGTACACCATTAGATTGACGGTTGAGAGGCGGGACCAAAGAGCCAAAGCTCAACCCCTGAAAGCACAAGTAGGTGAGTACACAGGACCACGTCACATGGACACATCAACCATAAATGTTAACATAACATATGATGCCGCGTCTGGAAACACAAGAAGGAAATAAAAACAAGTAAAAACACGGAAGCAAAAGGTAAACTCAGAAAAAGTTTACAAACATGAGCCAAAAAAAAAGAGAAGCACACATATCCATCATAGACAATGGACAATACAGACAAGAGGAAACAACAAAGATGTAAACGAAAACAAGGCCAAAAATAAGCCCTTAATAAATTATAAACCACAATATAAGACAAAAAACAAGAACACAAAGTATTGATGAGAGTCGGTGTGTGTGTGTGTGTGTGTGTGTGTGTGTGTGTGTGTGTGTGTGTGTGTGTGTGTGTGTGTGTGTGTGTATTGGTGGAGGCTGAGGGCTGTTGTTGGGGGGGAGTTAAGGGGTGGGGGGGGGGTGTTCTGGAGGGGGTTGTTGGAAAGGGGGTTTGCTGTGTGTGTGTGTGGGGGGGGGCGGGGAGGGATCGTTGAAGGGGGTGTTACTGGTGGGGGGGGAGGGGTGTCTAGGAAAGGGGGGAGGGGGTAGCAGGATAAAACCAGTTAAGCCAACTTCCACAACCCAGAAGTATTTAGCCTAACTACGCGTGTGTGGTGTGGCATTGCGAGAGCGTAAGCGTGCGCGCACACTGGCCTCGGGAATGCAACCCGTTCTCGCAAATTAAAAAAGTCAATATTGACTTATTAGTTGCGTGCATAGGTGACATACTAAACATAATAGTTTCCCTTGAAAAGCTTCATAGAAAACACCGACCTTACCTAACCTACTTAGTATGTTAAAATAAGCATCTTATAGCTTCGTAATTACAATTGTTACTTAACCTGTTATAGGTATAGGTTAGGTAATAATTGTAATTACGAAGCAATAAGATGCTTATCTTAACATACTAAGTAGGTTAGGTAAGGTCGGTGTTTTCTATGAAGCTTTTCAAGGGAAACTATTATGTTAAGTATGTCACCTATGCACATATTTAATAAGTCAATATTGACTTATTAAATTTGCGGGGAATGAGGGATGAGACCGATAAGAACTATCCAAGTAACTACCGTTACAATAATCAGCTGACTATCAGATGGTTACCATTGTTGAGGGCGAATAGAGTCACTATCTTCTTCTTGAGCTTTTATTTATTTTATTATCACTGGTAATATTTTGTTTATTATTTACTAAATCACGATTTCTTGGAATTTACATCGCCATAATATTTTGCTAGGCTATTTGTACGATTTATTTATTATTGATATATTTTCTGATTTTACCATTTTATCTTTGTATTAGGCTTTGTTGGGATCGAACTGTCGACAACCCAACACAGGGACTCGCTGCCGGCGCCATTGCTAGCTGGCCGCACACGGATTTGTTCCCGGAAAAACTCACGATTCTGAGCACCCATCAGCTCCATTCGTCGCGGTTTTGTGAGGAAGAATACATCAGTACTCCAAGAGGCTTGGTCGAGGACCGAGCCGCGGAGTCGCTAAGCCCCGGAAATCATCTCTAGGTAACCTGGAGGTAACGCCCTCATAGATGCAGCGAACGCTGAGATGGGGGGCCCTAAAATTTGAAAGAGTAATAGGTAATTTTGAACCAGGTCACTTCTATGGTAATGTGAAGATGCATAAGCCTGGCTTATGCATCTTCCTAATGCATTTTCCATATGCATCTTCCTAATGCATTTCCTTATGCATCTATAGGTCTAAGTGCATATGATGCACTTAGGCCTATAATTTCGCAGATTCCCACGTCTACTTATTAACTTACAAAAAGACTGAACGCAACACTATTGCCGTACATCCCGGCCATATTCTCCCTGAAATCTAGCGACGAATGTATTGACGTTCTGAAAATGAGAGATCAAGGAGCATATAATCTCACACAACCAGACCATCACCACAGACATCTTAATAAACAATCGAGCAGGTATAACGACAGCAGGACACTGGACACCAGCAAGGCGCTACACATTAAAAATTCAAGGCCAGCAATCAACAACCAGTTAACAATAATTACATTCTACCCACTTCAAGACCCCGAGCCAACGCAGAGGCAGGATTCAATAACCAGTTTTATCATCTGCTGTGTGTACTCACCTCACCAAGTTGTGATTTATGCTTCGGCTCCTTAGATCCGCCTCTGAACTGTCTATCAACTGGGGTACTGGTACCTGGGCTCTATCTAAAGAAAAACTTGAAATGTTAAGCCTCTCAGAACAACTAAAATTACAAAAACAATTGTAAACTCAGTAAACAAGAAAATAAAAAGAAAATCTGTAAATAAAAAACTTGATTTATAACTATTGTGGAAATATAATAATTTACATAAAATTACAGTATAATATTTACAGAGTAGTAGAGCCTGTAATCATTGTTTTGTATAATTTGGAATTAGATCTCCAAGTTTTATTTGTCAGTGATTTATAAAAGGTAATTCAAAGCCTCCTTACAATTGTTGCTGGAGAGAATATATAGTATAACCACTAAAGGAAAACTAAAAAAACTATAATTTGGGTGACGAGACATACTAAGAAAATGAATTATTGAACTGAAACACGAAGAATTAAATTTATAGGATATATAGAAAATTTAATGGGTAACTAATATAAATAAATTGCATCGTGATAGATATGGAAATGTTCACATCCTGAGCATATTACATCAAGAGTGTTTAGGAAGTTAGCTTAGATGACAGTCACTCAGGACACAATGTTCGGGGATAGCAAATGTAGATGTTTATCTCTGTGAATGTTTGGTAATATGTTTATTGTTTGTGATGTGTGTATATGTATGTATTAACACGATGTACTGAACGGGGTGAGAATAGCTTGAGCTACCTCATCCCTTTGTGTGTATTTTACCTCAATAAACTTATTTCAATTTCAATTTCAATGTTCGGGGGAGACTGTTGAGCCGCCTCGCAGCCGTTGTTGTCTATACACATCCCAAGTAGAACGAACAAATTGCCTTTAAAAATTTATTCGAAATACTTGAGAGACTGTGAGACAATATTCACTCCTGCTGACTATCTCTGTATTCTTAGTTTTTCTTCTCATTTTGATGTTTTCCAAGAGCCAGGATTTATGCAAGTGTTAACTATTCAACATATGCAACCTAAGTGTTCACATACGAAGCCAGTACATCTTTCCTCAATCATGGTGGGTTAGTTTATATTGATTAAACTGTTTACGAGGTTCAGAAAGTTGCGAGGACGCTCTCGACCCAAGTTTATTAGTGCTGCGGACCGCCTCGTAACTCTTCGGCGTAACTCTTCGGAGCTCATAAACTCTTTAATAAATGCAAATGAAGCCGCCATGATTAAAGAAAGATGTAAAGGTTCCGTCATTGGATACTTAAGCACTTCATGAATCTTAGCCGTAAGTAAAGTGTATATTATGAAGCACCTGACGGAGCGTGTAGCAGCAGCCATCCTTCTCTTTCTTCGACTAATTCTTTATCTCGTATCTTGATTTATTTTATTCTCTATAACGAAATGCGACTAATACTTGCACGGCGCATTGTGAAGGACTCGAGACCCGGAATATTTTAAGGAAGGCTGGTCGACACGCAGAATGGGTTTCTGGAGGCTGGTCGACACGCAGAATGGGTTTCTGGAGGCTGGTCGACACGCAGAAAGGGTTTCTGGAGGCTGGTCGACACGCAGAAAGGGTTTCTGGAGGCTGGTCGACACGCAGAAAGGGTTTTTGGAGGCTGGTCGACACGCAGAAAGGGTTTCTGGAGGCTGGTCGACACGCAGAATGGGTTTCTGGAGGCTGGTCGACACGCAGAAAGGGTTTCTGGAGGCTGGTCGACACGCAGAAAGGGTTTCTGGAGGCTGGTCGACACGCAGAATGGGTTTCTGGAGGCTGGTCGACACGCAGAATGGGTTTCTGGAGGCTGGTCGACACGCAGAAAGG